AGTAGTTGTTAGCATTAAGCTAGCAGACTTTTGGTGCCAGCATTTCCTCCTCTTTTGTTTTGGGTGTCAGTTTTACAGCAAACCTCAAATGGAAGTAAAACAACAGCTTGAGGCAAACACACTTTGCCTTATTTGAAGAACTGTGAGAGAGTCTTCTGATATACTCAAGGTGATGCTAAACAACACTCTCCAATTTCTTGACAGCAAGAGTGAGAACAAGTGTTAAGGAAGATTTTCATAAGTGCTATAATAAGTTTATATGGGAAACTGAGGTTCACTGTAACAAGAAAGTGGGCCTGTCTATGTTTCTGTGCGTGTTTTTATGCAGAATGATTGCAATTTTGACCACACACACACACACTAGCTGTCCCCTCCTCCACAGGTCAAGGTGCAGCCGAAATTCATCTCTAATAGCTCGTGCGTGAGCAGGAGGCCATCCGTCATGAGGACAGACTGGGGGCTGAATGTCCCTGTCACTAAGCTGTCGGTTTGTCAGCCAGCCAGTTCCATCATACTGAGATGAGGACTGGCCCTTGCTGGCAAAGAAGAGCAGTGCTGCAAATGCATACAAATATGCAAATTAATAACAAAATAAACATCACCCTGTGAATGAGCCATCCATCAGTGACCGTGTTCCGAGAAGCTTCGCATCGGGACGGCAACACCAATCAGCCACGCAGATACTGGGTGTGATGGAACGCCATCCCATCATGCTCCCATCCGCTCTCTCTCATCCCCCTCCTCACCCCCTGCTTCTCATCGCTCGCCATTTGCCACTTTTCATTCACTCTTTGTCCAAATTCCCCCCCCCCCCCACACACACACACACACGCACTGCACTCATTGCCTTCACTTTAATCTCACCACTTTGCTTGGCTTTTTTGTTCATCAATTTTGGGCCTCTGCAATAAAGACTTTGGTTCATCCCCATAATTTCAACGTTGAGGGAGACTTTTACAAGAGCTTTTTTTTTTTTCCGTGATAGAAAACATTTGGCCATGACAGCAGCAACTGGACCACGAGATATTTATTTCCATCAAGAATCCTGCCTCTGGGGTTTAATCATCTCATCAATGTAGTGCAGCACTTCAACTAACTGGTGTGTAAAATGCAGATGCATAAAAACAATGGCAGTTTGCTGTTGTCCTTCATCGAAAATGGTTTGAACACTGTGTGAATTCCGTTTGGGAAAGCCAAAAGGCTGGAATGGAAACAAAGAGCTCTAAATGGAATAAATGTCAAAAGGGGGAAAAACATGAAGCAGTCGGAATTCTCCAGCAGCTGACTCAGGCCGCACTGACGTCGCACTTGATACAGCATCTCCAATGCTCAGTCGAACAGACCAAAATGAATCAATTTATACACTAACCCACATTACAAGTGCATGTTATGATTGTAAAATGCCCCAAATACCACACTGAGTCCCCGGCACAGTGAAACAGTTCCACTGCGGTGTCAGGCGATTTTATGAGGTGGTATATTTAAAAAAAAAAAAAACCTAAGTCATTCTACACCCCTTCTTTCTTAACCACGTCTGGCTCCCACAAACAATGTTTTTTTCTCCAGCTTGGCTGATTGCGCACTCGCCATAGCTGAGTAATAACGGCAGCCTAAAAATTCTGCGGTGAGCCACCCAGCGGCTCGTGGTGAATCTCCAAGCTCTAAGTAGCAAATGTGACATTATTCACATTACCCTGACTAACAGCCCAATTGCTCCACTGAGCTAATTTGACAATGAGTGGGTGTTGAGGAGCTCTGATGCAGTAAAACGTCAGCCCCCCCAAAGCCTCACACTTTTATTGCAAATGCAGTGTGAAGGGCCTTGTTATTCAGAATGAAAGAAAGCCAATAAAATGTTCCCTTTCACTCCCTCCATGCTGTGGCGTCTGGATGTGACATACACACCCCACCCCCAACCACCCGCCAATAATCCACATAAAAGGCACACCGAACAAGAGCATTGCAACATGGTGCTGGTTTAATGAGTTTCAGTAAGAGTGACACAGTGAACTGGGGAATTACAGGCTCGTCTGACCACACCAACCACTAAACAACTGTCTAACACAAACCTCCACACACCCTTTCTCGTCTGTCGAAACATCCATACTGCCTTGTTTGCTACACACTACACTCACTGGCCACATTTTTCGGTACACAAGTGAATGAAATCCAATCTAAGTGTCAGAAATATATATGACACTCACAATTTACAATTGATGTTTTTAGTTTACAATTGTTTCGAACTATACTGAAATGTGTTTCCGATATTTTTGTTCCAATTTTCAGCTACGTTAGGTATCAGCCACAAATGAAGGAAAGGAATTTGACTGCCATATTTTCCGGACGATAGGCCGCTACTTTTTCCCCCCCCACACTTTGAACCCTGCCGCTTTTAATGTAATGCAGTTTATTGATGCATTTTGACTGGCGAGCTTCAAGCTGTCAATAGATTTACTTTAGTCTTGTCACATCTGAGCAATGCAATTACCAAACAAACACGTCACAATGAAATTGTCCCAAGTCGGCCCTCGCACTGAATATTCATTCACCATTTGCGGTTGGAGTGTGCACTTGGGTCGCGGGCGTGCTGGAGCCTATCGCCAGCTGTGATTGGGCGAGAGGAAGGGTGCACTCTGGACTGGTCATCATCATATAAGATGAATGGAAAACAACCATTCACACTCACATTAACACCTACGGACAATTTCAAGTAGTCACTGAACCTCACATGCATGTTTTTTGGAATGTACGAAACCAGCCTCTCGACTATGAGTCATGCGTGCGAACCACTAGGGCAACGTATTTTCTACTTGAGGTGTCATTGAATGTTAAAGGTGTGTCTAACATTGTTATAAAAGGATGTAATACATTTACAAATAACAGTCAGACCATAAAATAGGACAAGGATAAATGATGCTGGTGCAAAGATGTTTCAGTCGCCGTGTCCAAAGCTTCATGCTGCTTCCTGCACCGATACATCTGTCAGCCACATGCTCGCCTGCCATTCGCCTCTCAAACAGATGTTCACAGCTGGAGTGTGTGTGCATGTGCATTTCTTGATTGAATTCTGTGTGCACGTCTCTGTATGTGTGTAGCTGTGTTCATCACATGCCTCAGTTAAGAGGGATTAGAGCCACACCCCTTCCGAGACGCTAGACACTAACATCAGCATTATAAAACTCCCTTGTTGACTTGGACGACCCTCTCGGGCCCCTCACATCTTTGTCACAATGACAATGCAAATCATGATAGTGCTGGTACACATCTTGAGCTTCAAAGTGTCTCCGGCTCTCTTAAACATCAGCAACTTTCTTCAAGCAAACTGATGAAGCATTGTCTATGAGGAAACTTGTTTGTTTGTTTTTTCCGTCCAGATGTGACACATACTCAAATTGCACACAGCTGAAAGCCCTCCGCCCCCCAGCCCATGTAATGAAATCGAGTAAAAAAAATAATTGTAACAGGATTTTGGAAATGCAGCTTTATAGGCTATTGCCAGCCATTCTGTGAAGGAAAATGTGTTTTTTTTTTTTTGAGTGAAGTAAAGGTGTTACAGTGCAGCTCCAAAAAAATTGGCATTGCACTTGCCAGAGTTAAAATAAGCCTCTGGGTGAGAGGAGCCCACCGAGCAGCTATTCTGGGCCAGTCGGCTTCTTCTCCAAGGACTTCTTTATTGTTGGTCAAATGGCCTCAAGAAATCTCCAGTGCGGGCAAGGGCTGCATCTATTCACACTTGACAGACTTTGAACATTCTCTTTGTCTAGAAATAGGTCAAGGTGGGCTTCAACTCAGCTACATCTTGGCTACGTACATACATTTAAAGTACATTTATCCCCAAGACTAAATGTAGAAAACATTGTCGTATATGAAGTGAACACGTGATCGAAAATCCCACACACTTTTCCAAGCTGATTTAGCGATCAGGGCAGACTACACTCTGCGCTTTTCAGTCTTCCATCATTGTTGGTGGGGAATTGACAAAAATACAGTTGGACCGGGCCAGGTGTATGAAAGTCAGAGTATCCGTTCAGTCAGAAAAAAAATAATTGATCAATCAATCAAGGGAACGTTCTGATTTATTTTAATTCTGCATATCTCACCAAAGCCTTATTCTTTGTCGCTGATTTTTGGCTGGACTGTTTGGGGAAGGTTTTTTTGTCTGTCCGAGCATGAATGGGCAAGGTCGATAAGAAGGCCTGTTAGAATGAGCTTAGTGTGGAAGAACTTCAGGTTCGTGACCTCAACACCATCAAATGAGAATGCTGACTGCTCTCAGCCATCATGACAAATATTTTGTCTGCATGTTGTAGTAGACTGGTCTGGTAATCAAAATGAGTTATCGTCCAAATATGGAACGTATTATTGGAACAATATGTTATAACAATGAACCATATGTGTTACCGCAGCAGTCTTTAATTTTTTTGGACCATGAACTGTTTTCAATTACTGTACAGAAAGAAAGAAAACCAAATAACCCTCACCAACGTAGTGCTACTATCTCTTAAAAGGTCCAATTTCAGGCTAATCTATTTTCTTTTTTTTTCATTATTTGACCTGTTCCCCTTTTTCAGACACATTTCTTTTTTGCTTGTGTGGTAGTTATTTTTTTCCATGCATCACATCCTCAAGACGCAGGACACATGGAGATTCAAACCTGCAACCTTCGAACCGTGAAACAGATATGCTAACCACGAGTACACTGTGCTTCACTTCTCAAGTCTAGTCTTCTTATTCTGCTTTCTTCCTCCCAGAGATGACACAAAACTCCTTTGGTTTTCCCACTCTTATATCATAGCCTGTCACAACATGAGGCGAGGAAGTGGTCTTCTCCTCATTCTGGGAACGGATGTGGATCAGTGAGCTGGGTCGTGCGCCCTGTGAAACTTCATCATTTCAGTCATCGGTGAGAGTCTGCTAAGTTGAGCATGCAATGAAGCGCTTACGTTGGCCCTCAGATCACAAGTGAGGATGTCACACTGCGGGTTTAATCTCAGACTTACCGAAGCCAAAAGCTGCCGGCGCCGGGATGGGAGCAGACTGGACGGGTGTGGAGGTGTAGAGGCCCGTCACCAACAGACCGTCGAATGACACACTGGTAGAGATCGTCACTGGGGAGAAAAGAGCATTGCGTTATTTTGGTTTATTCTAAATTCCAATTTTTCATTGATATTTTTTGTTGTTGTTGTCCTATCCTTTGATTATCAATGCTCCAAGTTTTCAAGGACTGCTATTTGGGAGCGACATGAAGTGATTTGGTACTTAACAAGTGAAGTGTGACACAGTTCTAATTATAGGTCATCATTGGAACTTTAAGAACCCAAAATGTCCTTCAATAAAAAAATGGAGGTACTCTATTGTCCTTTCTCAAGGGCCTCCTCTTTGATGATTTAATGAGTTGGTTACGCAATAGCAAACTTTACATAGCCAACACAGCTCATCCCAACTTCACATACCTCCGCAAAAACAAATTCAGATTAGGGTTAGGCTCCAAAAAAACTAATTACTGTTTAGTGGAAACATGGTTTAATATAGACAAAAAAAAATCCTCCTATTAATAACTCAGGTTTCTTGAAACAAGACAAACAAAAACGCTTTGGTCACTACCTAGGAGCAACAACATCGATAAGCTAATTGGCGGTGACCCTGATCGTCAAGTTAGGCTTGCAGTCATTTCGGGTCACCACAAACGGCGTCGGGGCAGAAATTTGCCAGAGGTCTGTTATTCGGCGGTGGAGATCTACAGCTTCGTGTAAGCCGCAGCAAGTTAACTATTGATCCACCCTGTAAACAAAGACCCTGAGTGATGGGACCACAGAGCCGGCAGCTCCGCCGCTGGACGGCTTCCAGCCAGACGGAGCCGAACACGGGGGAGAAGTCTGGCCTCAAGAAGAACCCACTCCTAAAAAATACATTTTACAAAAAAAACAAACAGTGACGGACCCTGGAATCCCCCTCTGCATTTCGGGGAATAAGAAAATGCAGCGACGCCCGCGGTGTCGACATGTTTTCAGTTTTTGAATGGCAACATGTCCGTTTGCTCTCAGGGCGCTTCTTCTGAGGCTTGCTGAGTTTGGATGTGTGCTCCCAGGCAGAGCAGACTGTGTGGCCCAGTCTCCCACCCTGCCCGCCTGTCTGTGCGTCTGGCCGACTCCATTAAGACTTACACACACAAGGCGCCTAATGTTTGTATATGCGCGTGCGGGTCTGAATGTGTGTCCTGTGTTTTTGTGAACATTTAATGTGCTCTGGCCTTTTTTTTAAGAGTAGACTTCAGCTCATCGCTCCTTTATATGAAAGCCTCAATAATTTAGCTCACAGCTCATTCTTTTCTTCTTCTGTCCTCATATATTATTGATGCTAGAGCTCATATGTCCTGTATTTGGCAGGAAGAAAAAACAACTACATTCTACTTCAAGGCTATTATTTTTCAAAATGACATACTTGTTTTTCTAAAATACCAGAAAATATGAAGTAGATGATGACTATTGACTCAGGGGTGATGCTGCAACATGTTTAGACATACGAAACCACTTATTTTGAGCTTCGCTTACCTATGCTGATATTCCACACAATTCACAGTCACACATGAGAGTATATTAATATACAAAGTAGTTTCAGACAAATTCCAGGTCCGGTGTCACCAAAACTATATTTCAAATCCAAACTACAAGTTGTCCTCTTTAATGCGGGGCAGAAAATCAACAGGTATTTGCTTCGTTCAGTGCGCGACAAGAAGCGAGCTATGGCAGAAGTTGGAGCTGCTTCATCAACGCGCCTGCTCACTGCACCCTGAGCATCTTACAGTTTTTGGTCAAGAAAGCAATGCATTTGAGCAACCTCCCACCTGACCTGGCTCAGTGTGATTTCTTGTCCTCTTTCACAATCTCAAGAGGATCAATTTTTAACACCTGAAGGACATCAAGATGGCCGCTATGCAGAGCGGCAATGATCTCTGATGAATCCTTCCAGGAGTATATGATGGCGCGGCAGAGAAGACTAGTATTATTTGTAGCTGGTATTTGTAATATACCTTTTGTGTCATCAATTAAGAACTTTTCAGTCACAACTTCAGATTTTGCTCCATTACTTGATGAGGTCTTTCTCAAATCTCTCTCTCAGTCTGGTCTGAATGAAGTCCGACTGGTTATCGAAATGAGTAGCACAAAGACAAGCGCGGTCTATTTTGCTTGGCAACAGCATCATCTTATTAGTCAACATCCATTCAATGTGGGAAAACAGCCTTCTCATTCATGGAAGCAATTTCATTGTGCTGTGAATACATGTTTGTTTGTTTGATTTTTTTTTTTTGCACTATTTTTGCTTCCCACAACACATTATCTATTCAACAGATGCAATCCACGGTGCACTGAGACATATTGGCATTACACACATTGATCCAAGGCCATGTTATATTGTATTTAATGGAGTGGTAGAATAGATGTAATGCACGGTGTCAGCCCTGGTTTCACCAGGCTCTATATACACAATACGCTTATCTCTACATTTTCATTGACCTGCAAGGTTACACACACTCCATTAGTCTTTACATGCACAGAGTGTTACTTGCACACATGCAAAGGATTTTTCCACCTCTCTTTTCACCCGCCCTTCATCAGCCATTTCTCATTTGAGAAATCATGGCAACAATAATAAAAAAAAAAAAAATACCTTCTGCACTTTCCTATCCCACGTAGCAGAGTACCTGCTCTGTTTAATGTGGAGGCATAAGGGCAGCTGTGAGCAGAAGGTTACTATTGAGGAAAAAAAATGAGAGTGGGGGGGAAAAAGCTTTGAAAAAATGGTGATGCCTGCGCAGGGTAGCGCTACCTGATCAATACAAATGAAAGAACTAAATTATTTACACACCCTCATCAACACCCCTCTCACATTTGCAGCCGATCAAATGAGCCAATCTGATCACACACACAGACACACACACAAATCTTCACGCACACGCTCGCGGCCTTTGATGCTTGCTTTTATCATTCTCATCCATACTTTTATTTTTGACTACTGCTCACTTGGCCGAAGGGAACGAGGAGCCATAATGGAGGAGTGGGAGCCAACAATCTCATTCAACACAGAGGCAAGTTGTGTGTGTGCATACGTGCGTGTGCGCATGTTGGAGCAGCAGGGGATTTCACCAAATAGTAGCTGGGCTCAGTCGAAGCAACCAAAAATGTGGAGTGAATATCTGCCCATTCATCATTTAAACATGGCACAAACAGCCGATGCCTACTATGAATGTTGAGTAAATTCTGAATAGTATCAAGAGTAACCAAGTGTCATTGTCTACTGAGGACCTAACCTGGGAACTGTTTTAAATATGTAGGTATCATTTAATGTATCAGTAAAATTATAAATCATAAATTATCTGCAGGAGATGGATAAATCTTGGTCAGCCTGGTCAAGCATTAGTTTATATTTGAATGCAGCACAGAGCAGAGCCAACGGCCCAAAGCCAGCATGTAATATTGAAGATGAGATAAAGTATGCCTCATTACAGTGCCACACAACCACACCACTGCTCAAGTATCGATGGGCCTTGAAAATTTTTTCAACACCACCAGGAGTAATATTACGGCATAAAATACCAGCCAGCACATTAACACTCCGGAAGAGAACAAATATCCACAAATTCAGTACCCTTTACGCTTTGTTCCACCTTAAAAAAAATTACTTTAAGTAAAAATTTCAGGTTGCACCGAGTAAATTATTAACATGAGTCCAAGCTAAAATATTGGATCTGACGGATTACTTAATTTTTTTTTTTTTTCATTTAAGTTCATCCCATGTTTAATTTTTGTGTTCAGTGCATATGTGACCTTACTTGGAAGCGAATTGCTACAGTAAAAGGTTTGTGAAAAGATGCTTTTGAGAGAGAATTGCATAAAATATTATACATTCCAGCTCATCCCTAAGAGCTGTGCTTTTGAATTCACTAACAAATGCACCTGAGCATACAAATACACACAAAAAATGTGTGTGTGTGTGTGTGTGTGTGTGTGTGTGTGTGTGTGTGTGTGTGTGTGTGTGTGTGTGTGTGTGTGTGTGTGTGTATATATATATATATATTCAAAGAAGGTTTTACTAATGTGAATGGATCATTGTATGCTGGGTAAGTTATCATTTTTAGGCTCCTGTTTAACAGTGCCCACTGGCAAGTTAAAACAACAATAACGTCTCCTGATGGCATTGAAAAGCTTGCTCGCTACTGTGGTTGGCAAAGCTTGTTGGCATCAGCTCATTCTTAGGAATAAGCATGGCGGAGGATTAGAGCGGCGCTGGAGAGTAAGAAGAACTGATTTACGTCTCCACCTTGCTTGCTTCCATTGAAGTCCTCCTGGCGGGCTTGGCGGGGCCTGAATGGTTCCTTTTTTTGAATGCTGTTGTGTACAAACACACCCACTTTCATGAGCTTCACCGCAGACGCCGCGCTAAAGGTTCTGCGAGCGCAATGTACGAGCAAGCCACACAGTAACCCAAATATTCTCAGACGGAAAAAACACAAAAAGAGAAGCCAAGAGAACACCCTTTTCGTTTCCAAATGAATGGCGCTTTTCTTGGCAATGCTTTCGATAAAGATAGCTGACCATCTGACCCATATCCCACAGGCAGACACACACGTGCCCAGAGAGCACCCGGAAATGGAGACCAGGCCCGTGGGGAATCTACAAATCCATCTGTTTGTGTGGCTATGGCAGCAGGGTCAGGGTGCCACTTCACTGTGAGCTTCCTGAAATGCTTCCAACTGTCAGTCACCTGTACACGGCACCATCAAGGACCAAAGGATCCCAACTGTTTTTTTTCAGGAACTTCCACAAAATTATTTTTTGATTAAGCATGGATGTACTGTATCTGACGCATTGTCAACGAACTGTGTGCGAAATGTGTCCCCGCACATGAATGCGTCATGCAGTGATGCAGTCAGGTCTTAGAAGCATCATGCCATTGCGTAACCTTCTGGCACCATTGTGGCCTGCTGGCACAGCCATCTGCTGTGAGACATTCGATCAAAGGCAACCTATTGGACACTGAGTTTCTACAGGTCTGCTTAATGACGACACATCCAAACACCTTATGCGAAAGGCCCCAAACAGTGTCTCCC